TCACCCCCATTCATCAGTACTTTGAGTATGTTGTTTAAGACACCATTCCCTACAACTATGCCAAAAATCGCTTTTACACGAATTATTTCCCCTATTTTTCCTTCATTGAGTGGGCTACTAGCCTAGTCTACGACGGAACACTGTAGCTCTCATAGATTTAGAATATTATACCAAAGGCCAAGAATAATAGATGACATGCCATAACGTCTATATAAAATATACAATATAGGAATATCTTACGATTCTATACAGAAATAAAAAATAATATATATGTTTCTTACTAACGTAAGCATGTAATTCTGCTAGTATAAAAAGAGAATACCTTATTTTGTCAGTTATCTGAACTTGTAATACTGAATTGTGATATCACATAATGCCCGCTCATCAACCCGTTCGCCGTTTTAGTTTATGGTTCTAAGCACTTCTGAGAGTTTATGAGAAGTATCATTTGGCGGTAAAGTGCGACTTTTTTCATTTCGGGTACATCTTGAGTGCTATATATATGCAACTATTATAACTTCCAGAAAGACCTTCTATAGATGGCAGCTTATCTCGTTTTTGCCAGATGTAATTCCCAAACCAGTAACGAGCAGCAGCGACAAAGATCTAAAGGGGTACTGCAAAAGCCAATTCACTTGCTTATCAATCTTTTTAAATTCAACTACAAGAACCAATCAACTACAAGAACCATGCACACAACCTGTTATAAACTATTTCTTTGATGCTCATTCTTAGGACGTACTTAATTCTTACAGTGACTTTTAGAATTAGAATTAAATAACACCACTTCAATACATCCTTCGTTAAAGTCGACTTATATTAATAAGAAGGTATTGTTGACCGGGCCAAAATAAGGACTTCATTATTCATTTCAAATTTTTTTTTATAGCATAGTGTGATAAACGAGCACAAAGTGCACCTGATGGTAAGTGGTTGCTGTGGCCCATAGACATCTACATTTATCCTCGTTTGCGAATCAAAAAATGCAGATGCGTTGTCACCCGTGAGGACTAAGGTGGAATGCCTCATTTCCAGGAAAAAGGCTCCCCGTTTCTCCACACTCACGATACCAAACACAGCAGTGTCAAGCTGCCATTTTACGCTGGTATTCTGTGAGAGCGTGGTCCTTTCCGGGTCGAGCCAACCTACAACTATAACTATACTACTAATATAGCTGCAGCATGGCTCCTCACTTCACCCATGTAACCAGATTTTGAGTTTAGTGGTGACTCATATTGCAAAATGAGGCATACAATTTTATCTTAAAATCAAAAACATTAATTTAATGTATATATATGATTACGATTAATCGACAACATTGCAATGAATGAACAATCCCATAGAACAGTCATGAACAGCACTAGTTAATGGGCGGAGCCTACGCCTTTATAGTTTCTGTTTTGGCATGCGTTAGGCCAGCTAAATACATACGGAATTCCGTTTCGTGCTTCCATTTCGGAATTCCGAACGGGTCGGCCACACACATACGGAAACCCGTTTCGGCCTCAAAATTTCTAACGGAAAACTACCGTAAGTGTGTGACGGGTCATAGATTTTATATGAACTTGCTGTGTTCGGAATCTCGAATCGGATTTCCGAAACGGAATCCCGAAAAGGAATTCCTTATGTATGTGGCGGGACTTAGAATCTTTTTGGTAGTTCATGACCTTTATTTTTATCATAGAGATATATACCTATGGAGAGGGCATATTCTACTATGGAAATAATAGTTATACAAATATCTATAATATCGACACACACTTGTCAAAAACAGTTTTGTCTCTTTTTAACAAAGCAGTAGCTGCAATAGAAAAGAGAGACATATACAGTTTGTAAAGTGCTTATTTTGGTAATACTTTCGTGTGACGTCATTAGCTCATCCTTGCGTGACTGCGCAGCCATGTTAAGCGCCAAGTTTTGAGGTAGATCTCCTGTCAAACTGTCAAAAAAGCAGTAAAATAGTGTCGTACACTATCCATGGTGTCGATAGAAATTATTTTAATAAATTAATTTTGTTCAGAAATGAATATTTAATATTAATAATAGCTATTTATAAATCCTGGATATCATATTTCATCAACCGTTTCACGATAATAACAGATTTTCGAATTTTGAATGAACAAAATTGATGTACCTGCGAAAATAATAATATTTTTCATTTAAAACCTGAATAAAAAAATTAAATAAGATATCCGGCAGGACCGAACATGCTCATATAACTTACCATTTGTGATCAATTATGTGTAGAACGTTCTTATATGCCAATTAATAATAAAGAAGTATTGATTTTAAAAACAGTTTATTTAATTTTTATTCAACATATCATTATTATTTTATATTAAAAATATTATAATATGGGATTACAATATGGAATCAAGGATCTCCATCCTATCTCTATACATTTGTTTACTGTACAATATTATTGTACGGTAAACAAAGGTATTTTGGTATACAAGCAAAAATATTCTTTTTCCTACTATTCTGTCAATATTCATTTTTATTGTGTGCGTTATAACTTTTTAACTTTGTTCACATTGATATAAAACAAAACGTGTGTGTGTATTTATGTACGCACGTAATAAGTTATACTTCTTTAGCGTTACAAAACAAAAATAACTAAAATAAAACACGTTTTATACATTCATATATATTTGAATAACTACCTCGAATATAGTTATCAGTTCTCAGGAAAACTTAAAAAATTTACTCTCATCATTTTTCTTAAACGCGCCAAAAGAAGTATAACTTCAAAACTTGAGTAAGCACTTAGCACACTCAGAACATTGTTTAAAACAAGTTGCAAGTGAGCTGCCTGCATACTTAACTCATTGTTTGACTGTGTACCTAACAAAAAATCTGTAGCAGAGTATGCATTGCGTAAGTGTACATATGCGATGAAGCAGATCAGAATAGCAATCCAAAACTAATTTAACAACATAACAATATCCATTGCTTCATGTGATTGAAAAATTCGTTTGCTCGACAACAAAAATCACGCAATGGATGTTGTTAAGCTCTCAAATTGGTATGGTTTGCCATTTTAGGTGTGTTACGCAATTAGGCTATGGATTTAATTTCTATAATTATATGAAATAAGAACAAACTCATATTAGTAAAAATATCGATATCAGCTGTCCATATTGCTGAGTTACAACTCTATAAAAGGTGGCCATTTTATGTGCCAGATTTGTTTAGGTAGTCTCGCTAATTCTTTTGGTATGCCCAGTCCATAAACTTCGAAGTTATTGATGTCATTGATTGTGACAGTTTACATTTTTTATTTTTTACAAAACGTGTTGCCGGAACAAATTGCGAAAAAGCTACTCATTTCTGATTCATAAACTTTGCATTGTAGGGAACCTGACCGCCGGCGGATTGTTGTTCTTGTAGGTTTATTTCATGGTTTGAAGTGGATTTTGCTACGTTATAATTGTTCTGATTTCGTGTATTCAATATCTGTCATGTGAAGTATTATTTAGAACAATGTACAAACGCTTCCACGGTAATATAAATTTTAATTACATCCATAAACAAACAAACAATTTGTAAATATTGAATAAACATCAAACTAGGCTGTATGGTCTAAGCCTTTTATCAACTTTAATTGGAAAATCGTAATAAGAATGTCAGTTCAGACCATCAGTTGTAGTATTGCCAACATAGTGGATTTTCCCACTAAAACTGGTGTTTTCGACCCTTCTATTTGTGGAGAAATATTGCTTATATTGACTAGTGGTTCTTTCTAGTTGTGGCTAAAATTCATGTGTGGAAAGATCAATGCTTAAAAATGATAGGAAGTCTGATCGAAGAAATAAAAAATGTTGCCGGAAAATTTGATACTGATGAAAAGCAACTCCCGAATAAATTTTGAACAAGCACTTAATCATCACAACAATAAAAATATAATTGACATAATGGCTCAGTTCAATAAAACTGCAGAATTCATAGCAAAAGACGATGATCAGTGGCGACAGATTCATTTATTGAAATGGAAAGAGACCAAACATACAAAAATATTTCCATTTAAAAGAAACTCAAGAAGAATCATGCGGTATTAGCGACCTTCGCGATTACTATTTTATCAATGCCGGATTACAATGTCGATGTTGATAGATTATTTTGCAATATGAATATAATAAAAATCAAGCAAAGGAATAGAATGAAATTAAACCTTTATCTGCCATATTAAGAATATGTTACAGTTTGAGGTTGGTAGGAAAATGCTTCAACGACTTTGACAAAATGATACTAAAGAATCCTCTCAATCTGAAATTGATAATGACGGTGCTGACAAAAATTATACATCTGAAGAAGACGATTTAACATAAGATTAAGTTGATAACTCGTTATTTTAATAACTTTACCTAATAAAGCTATTATCTAATCAAATACTGATAGTATTGTTTTATTTTATTACTTGTCGAGTTTTTGTTTTATCTTAGATTTTGATTTTACTTTGATTATTTATGTTTTTCTTTATGGATGTTTTCTTAAGTTTATGTTATGTGTTGATTTAGTCATTTTATATAATAAAAATTATAATTAAATAGTTTTAATTTTATTTTCCTATTACGACTATATATGACAAAATACTTTCAATGTTTCTATAGTGTGTTTTAACATTTTTTTTAAATAATGTTGTCTGTATTAGTTTTTCCAAAGCTTGTTTCCATAATATCTATTTTAACATAAAATATTTTCTTTCGTAATAACCAAACATTTTTTAGTGGAAAATTTATTGATTGTGAGATTTATTGTTGTAGCATCGCCTTTTGATAGTGGCTTTAGAAGTTGATTTGGAGGAAAGCTATTTTGACTTATCGCATTTTGGCAACACTGGCCATTTGTTACTTTGTCTGTCCCGTAAAAGTAAAACTAGCTATTTTAGCTAGTAGTAATAGTGTTCTGTGCTAGTAACTAATCATTGACAAAATCATAGATTAATAGATTTAGAAAAGCTAAAAATAATTTAAAACCTTTTCTAAGCTTTTTACCATAAAATGGCTATATCTCGCTTAACTCGACTTGTTACTCAATCTAAAAACATATCCAGATATGAACAAATTATCGTGCAAAAGAGGACAGCAACAACAACTCCAAGCGGTGCTATCCTTCCAGAACCCGAGAAAACACCTTTTGGCCTTCTAGGTGTAGTTTGTGCTGTGGTACCTGGTTTACTAATCGGAGCCGCGATAAGTAAGAATATAGCAAACTTTTTGGAAGAGAACGAATTGTTCGTCCCGTCGGACGATGACGATGATGATGACTAAAACCTATTTCAGATTTATCACTGTTCATCATTAGTTAGTAAAACCAAAACTTTATTATAAAACTCTTTTTATTAAATAAGTATCAAGAAAGCTACACACTAATAGTTCATTATGTGCTTGTGTTACTGAATTACATATTAATGATTTTTGTTATATTTTATAATTGTTGTAAAAAAGCTCTTAAGATATATATTTACAAATTTAATTATGTAAGTACAGAAAAGTAGTAACATTTACAGCATTGTATACAATTCTTTTAATTAATAATATGTTGTACAAAAAAAAATTTACATGATTTTTTGATAAAGAGAGTTACACCTAAGCACTCATTGCTCACCTAGTCAAATGTTACTCTCATTATTACAGTAGTTATGACAGTAATCTCACCATGCACACACTGCTAAGTTGTAAACGAAACAAAAAATGACGATAGTATAATTCAGTCTTTCATTTGCTACCATCACTGTCTTTTAAATCTGTAGGCAAAAGTTAAATATAAATAATTATCATTATCCTTACAACCATTAAGTCCACTGCTATATGTAGATTTCCCAAAGGCTCACATAAGAGTTCTGATCTACTTGGTTACATTATTCAATACTCTGAATGTCTCTATTAAGTTGTCGATTTATCAAGAAGCACCAATAAAAAAATTAAATATTTTGTGCATTACCTATGATGTTTTCAGAAATTCAGTCTAAATTGGGGCTTGAGTAGTAGTTCAGTACAACATGTCTTATGAGAATGATCATACTGCATGAAGTGTCTGACCTGTTGGGGAAGTTTTTATAAAAATTTTAAGTGTCAAAGATTTATTTTTCAGGAACTTTGGCAGCTGCTCAGCCCAAAAGAATTTGGAACAATTTTTATACATTGATATCAATAAAAACGCTTGTTTTGTTTATTCTCATTTGCTTCCATCAATACTGTGTCATTGGGGTGGTCTTGCAGTACATCTTTAATGCCATTTTGGAATAAATTCAGCTATCAAGTGTCATGCCAGTCCAAAGGCGATCAAGTGTGTATGTCAATTGTAGTATACAGTTTAAAAGTTAAATGAATTTACTATCAACCGCCAGCACATTGTTTGCAAGTCATTTGCTAAAGTATTAAATGATCATTCATGTGTCACAACATATGAAGTATGTTATGCCACAATACCATCAAGGGCATACATAAGAAACTATTAAGTCTGAAAATTTGTAACAATATTAGGCACGTATTATAACAAAACTTTTTGATATAGATATTTACACAAGTATTAATGTACATCGAAAAATATGCACAACTTGATTACTTAAATTAACAAATTTATGAGTTGTCAATATATATTTTTTCCCAAATTCGAAAAAAACATTTAAGATATCTTGAATGTTTTTTTCGAATTTGGGAAAAAATTTATAGTGGGACTATCAAAATAATTAATAGAAAGGTTATACTAATTGCATCAAACAACTGTAATCTGTACTGCAGTAGCTATCGGATCAAGCAGCAAATCCTCCTTCTCAGCTTCAAATTAATTTAGTATGGCAGCATTATGCAGAAAAAATGAAAAATATACAACCCAAGGGCACGGCAACTTCTCGAGAGATTTTAGAAGTGCAAAGATATTTGGACGATAAAGTTGTGTTGCCGGGTGAGAATATATCACCACTAGAGTGGTGGGAAAAGCGAAAAGATGTATACCCGCATTTGTATGCCCTAGCACTCAACAAGTTAAATGCAATGGCCACGAGTGTCCCTTGTGAAAGATTATTTTCCTCCTGTGGATTCTTACTTAATGACAAGAGAACAAGGCTGGGGACTCGAAAAGTCCAACAATTAATGTTCTTAAATCAAAATCATAGGGCTGATTTTCTCCGTATATATAAAAAATAAAAACAGGCAAAAATCTGATTACTTTGAAAAAAAAAAAGAATTAAAATCTTTTAAATACGCCAACAATCTACAATGTAGATAAATCTTTACGTTGACAATCCTAAGCCTGTGTAAAGTATGAAGGGAAGATTACAATTAATTACTGTATACGTACACGTATCGGTGGTACGCAAAGACTAGCATACTTTAAAGTGTACCCTATTCCAACAATACCAAACTTTATGCATACTTCATGAACTAGGAGGAGCAGGTATTTGGATCAAGTATTTGTACGGAATTGGACTAGGTGCACCTAGTATAAAATTTACCTAGTACCACTCATCTCTAGTTTTAAGGAACACAATGATGACAAGAAGGGACCGTGTTTCCCTAGACAATCTTAGGAGCGAATATGATGTGGCACATTTCTATTGACTAGCGCCAGTGCGCGAATTAGTCTGAGAGCTGGCGACGAATTTTGGGAAGGTTGTTATAAATAGAACATAATAAAACTACATTCAGGTAGTTCAAAAATCATCTACATCTGTACCACATAACTGTAAAAAAATTACGACTGTAGAAAACGTGCAGCCTGTTATTTTTTTCCACAGAGATGAACTCTGGGCGGTAAGTACTTTATACATATTGTCCTTTTTTAAGAACATGGGGCGGTAATTATTAAACAATTTTTTTTTCAAAGCCCAAGCCTTACGAGGTTAAAATTAATAGCAATTATACAAATTATTACAGCTCTGATCTAAAACAATTCAAACTATATACATAGATATTTACATGGTCCAATATGCGCATACATACATGCTAAATTCCAAAACAAGAATTTAATTTTAAAATCTTTAAAAAAGATATAAAACACTCAATAATTTTTCACGATGTTGCTCTCACACAAAATACTCTGGTGTGAACGCAGAGCCGGAACTATACTGGAAACGCGGTTTCTCAATAACCAATCACAGCGCGAAGAGTTGGGGCACCAAACAACTACCGGTATGCCTCGTTAAGCTATCTTTCTCGTACTTATGGCTGCGCATAAGACTTTTTTGTCGTATGCATTTGTTAACTTTATTCACGTTTGGGAATTATTTATAACCGCTTAATTTCTCTGACGATTTGCAGGTATTATTGAAATTACTCAATAAATACGTGATTAAAATTTGAGATTGCCAAAAGTATATTTTTTGGGAATTTTTGGAGAGGTCTGGTAATACTGTATAACCGACACAACGTCTGGGATTTTTTTTTAATTATATACAAACTAAATTAAAAGATAAATAATTAAAAATTAAAAATTTTGTACAGCCGACTTCAATATAAGTTATTAAGAATAACTCAAATAACTCAAAAACTATTGGCCTGAAAAAGAATCATTGAAATCGGTCCACCCAGTAAAAAGTTATGAGGTAACACACATAAAAAAAAACATACGCGACGAATTGAGTACCGTCTCCTTTTTGGAAGTCGGCAGAAAAGAAATCATATTGCCAAGAAAACATTTTTTTTGGATTTTCCTTTGCAAATGTTATATACTGCGCAGTAACGAAATAACCGCAAACGCTCTGCCAGACTGGCGGGACTGGATTCGCCAATTGACGAAATTATATTTTCACCATTTCAACTTGCTAAAAGGACCGTTCGCTATCAAAATTCGTCGCCAGCTCTTGAACTAAAAATCTCGGAGGACCAACTTCAGCCCGGCCAAGATATATCGCGCACCATACTAATTAAAAAAAATGTGACCAACATTTTATCCCACTGATTTTCTTGTTAAGTACAATCTCCATTTAACTTTCTAAAATGATTTAAATTAAATTTCGAAATAACAAACACAAGCTTTTTTTATTGTTAAAACTCAGAATTGATATAAGCCATGAATATTTGTATAATAATAAAACACTCACATAACTTTTAAACACTATGTTCTAAATTTATTAAAATGAGATATTATATTACATTTAAGTCATAATTTTTTTCATCGTGTTAATAATAGCTTCATTATTTATAAGTTTTGTTATAAATACAGATTTAATGTGCTAAGTTATGTTACTAAAATGTACATATTATATTTGGTTCAAATTCATTTTTTTTTTAATTAAATTAAGGTAAATCTACGAATTTTATAAAATTAAAAGTGGTCCTTTATTCAATAGGCTAATGTACCGTTCCATATTTGGAATCAGTGAACAGACTTGTTAAGAGGCTTGTTGGTAACTTTAATTTCTTTGAAACTGATCTTGCCAACTTCGAGCACAGGCGCAGAGTAGTCTCTGTATGCTATAGGATATATTTTGGAAAGTGTGTGCAGGAATTACATGTTTTAGTTTTTTCCTCTCCTTTCCATCATCAGACCTCTATCGGCTATCGGCTGGCCCTCATACCTTTGATGTACATAGATATTAAACTCATTTGAACGACAATGTTTGTGTTCGTCTTTAATAAAGCATACAGTAAGGGTGGAATAATTTGCTGGTGACTGTCTTTTCATCCGATTACAATCTGGGCGTCTTCAAGGAAAGAGTGAATAGGCTTTTATAACGCCAAGACAGCGCAATTAAGGGTTGCATCATCACTTACCAGCTTACCACCAGGTGTGATTCTAGACAAGCACTAGTTTATAATAAGTAAAAAAATATTACTACTGAAAGTTTAAATATATTTATCGTCAAGTTATCGCAAGTATTTAGAGAACAGAAAAGAATAGAATATTTTGGAAAAATACTAATTAGTTTATGTGTCATTTCTTACAAAATCTGATATATTATGATTTTTTGCCATTCCGATTAGATTCTTTTAAACTGCTTAAAGATATGAAATGAAAAGAATCTGGACAAGATTCAAGACAGAATATCTGAGATCAACTAAGCATTTTAAATTAAAACTTAAATGGTTCGCAACAGTATGGGATTTCACAGTTCATATTGAGCAATATGAATGGTAATTAAGAATTATGTATTAAATAATTTTCGACGATCTAATATTGTATTGTAACAAAATAAGATGTGATAAAACATTCTAAATCCGTTACAATATGTACACTATAATTTCTATACTTTAATTTCTAAACTTTGTATAATACATATAAACATTATATTACGATACGTATCGTCGTCGATAAGTTTTGCTATAAA